TCAACAAACGATAAAAAAACTGCCATATTCACACAACATTGAAAAACAATGAACTGGTAAAACATTGCACAACATGGGTGAGCCTGGAAAACATAATACTGAGTGAAATATCTCAGTCACAAAAGGACTAAAACCGCTGATATAACATCTATATGTTACAGCACAGCACTGCTTTTATAAAATCGGACTGGTGGGGGGGGTGATGGAGAATAGGAAAAGAGTGGTATTGGAACAGAGAAGGGGAAGAATTGACTGAAAGGAAAGGAATACATTATTAGTATATGGATGACAACAATCTGGAGCAGGAGGTGCATTGCAAAGTGGACTGGGGGAGGGAGAACGGAGGAGGAGAGAGGAAAATGTTAAACAATGAATGAAACTCCAACCTTTCTGTAAATTTTTGTTACAATTACAAGTCATTTTCTTTAATCTTTTTATTTTATTAATTTTATTATTATTCATTTTAATAAAAATTTACAGATATTTTGTATTTTCATTCATTCATTGTTGCACTTTTCTCCCTTCCCACCCCTCCCATCCAGTTTGTTCTTCTCTTTGAAGAGTAAAAGAAAAATTCTTTCATTGTTACACAATCCCTCCCCTAAAGTCCACTCCACTATGCAGCCTTTGTTCTGGACCCATGTCATGACAATAATACCTAATCATATATACCTTTAAACAGTTCTCTCTCTCATATGTTTCAGTGCAGTATACATAATTTATCTCATCTTTCTCAGTCTCCCCCCCAACCCCTATGTCAGTCCTGTTTTACAACAGTGGCACCATGCAGTATTTATCCTTTTGTGACTGAGATATTTCACTCAGCATAGTGTCCTCCAGGGTCATCCATTTTGAATAATATTTATGAGTTTCTTGTTTTTTCAATGCAGCCTGAAGAGTCTGAAAAGAAGAGCATGATTGTAAAGGTTAGAAACTCTCTGGACTGTCTACCTGTGACTTTTTAACATTTGAAATGTGCCTGGTAAGGTGGGGGAAATTAATTTTTCATTTTACTTACTTACCCTTAAATTATTTAAACTATCATCTTTGGCCCTCTTATATTCTCAAGGGGTTTTTTTCTGCAAGGAGGAATTGACTGGAAAGCAATATTCCTATGAAAACAGGAAGTCTGGTACAAAAACGGATTTTATTATTTACTTCTGTTAGCAAGTATTTCTTTAGCAAAGTGCTGAGCTCAGGTATTTAGTGATAGAAGAAAATGATGCCAGCTCTCAGAAAACATTTAGTTCAAAAGGTGGATCATCTAAAACAGAATTTTAATACCATGAATGAATATGCTGAGCTCCCAAAGCAGGGAAGTAGGAGTCAGCATAGGAACAATGGGCAGAAATAGAACTTCATGGAGAAGTGACATCTGAGAACTAATCCCTGAGAGCTGGTCAGTGAAATGTGAGAAGAAATTTGAGCAGAAGAGGAGCAGATAGACAGGTAGGGTAGAGGGGAGCACAGAAGTCCAAAGGTGAAGAGATGCATAAGGGTTGCATGTTGTAATGAGTGTGTCATAATGTTGTAAGCACTTGCTACAAGAAGATAAAAAATTATAGCCTCAATATAGATAACATTTCAACATCAAGGAAACAAATGTCCTCACCACTGAGCCAAAAGGCTTTATCATGATAGGTGGAGAAAAGATTCAAGTTGTTGATACCATCGTTTTACCTGGATCCACAATCAATACTCACGGTAACAGCAGTCAAGAAATCAAAACGTGGGGGAAATCTTCTGCGAAGAACCTCTCCAAAGTGCTAAAGAGCAAGAATGTCCATTTCCAGACTACAGTGCACTTGATGCAAGCCAGGGTATTTCCAGTTGCTTCCTATGCATCTGAAAGTTGGACAATGAATAAGAATGACAAAAGAAGTGTTGCCTTTGAATTGTGGTATTGGAGATCTCTATTTTGAATTGCCAAAATAAACAATCAAGGCTGTGTTGGAGTAAGTACAACTAGGGTGCTCTTTAAAGGCAAGGATGACGAAACCTCATCTCACATGCTTTGAGTGTGTTGTCAGGAGGGACTGTCCTTAGAAAAGAACATCATACTGGGAAAGGATGTAGGTCAGAGAAAGAAAAGCTCTTCCATGAGATGGATTGTCACAGTGACTATAGCAATGAGCTGCAACATATCAGAGATCTTGAGGATGGTGCAGAATTGGGCAAAATTAAAATTTATTGTTCATAGGGTCACTATGAATCAAAGTGGACTCGATAGCACTTAACAACAATAATAATAATGTGTAAGGACCTCAGGTGACACAGTCCAGAGCATGTTACCTTCTAACCAAAAGGTTGCTCACTTTTGGTAGTTGGAATCCAACAGCTGTTAGAGAAACTTTTGACGTTTCAGAAACCCACGGAGGGTTGATGTGAGTCAGAAGTGACACATAAGCAGTGAGTGAGTGAATATCTAATGTGATGTATAAAGGAGTTAGGGGCATGGAAGCAGGAATTGTAATTGGATTGTAAAACGTTGGCCTGAAGTGGATCAGGAAAGTGTTTGTTTCACTGTGATGTTTACACTGTATCTCATAAACACATGGCAGTCTGTAAAGTTTGCTGAAGTATTAGCAAAGTCAAACATGTGCTCGTTCTACAGAATGCTTTGTCAGCAAGGAGAAAGTCATAGTGGGCAAACCTGTTGGACCTTGATGCAATCTATCAGGCATGATATAAGGAAAACTGTAACTATAAAAGCCTTGATTTTTCCTCCTAATAGTTTTACACCAAAATGCATGTAAGAAATGACTCCGAGTATTACACTAGAATGCCAAGAAACTAAAACAAAGTTGAACAGACTATAACCAGGAAAGAATAAAATAAGTGAATGGAACCTTTTAAGAATCAAATCCCTATGAATATAAAAAAACTTCTCTCAAAAAAAAAAAAAACCTTCTCTCATAGGTAAAAACAAAACATATAGAATGGAAAAAAATATCTAACAATCATATATCTGATAAGGGACTTAGATCTAAAACTTACAGAATACTCCAGTACTTCAGCAAGAAAAAGGTAACAACACAATCACAAAATGGGTTGTTGTTGTTATATGCTGTCGAGTCACTTGTGACTCATTGTGACCCTTTCTATGTACAAGAGCCCTACCTAAATCCTGCTCTATCCTGTGCCAACCTCACTATCTCTGACACACCTACTCCCATTACCCCAATCACTGAATGGATCCATCTCATCAAGGGTCCTCCTCTCTCGTGCCGTTCCTCCACCCTCCCAAGCATGATGTCCCTATCCAAGGACTGGTCCCTCCTTGCAACATGCCAGAAG